CAGTGTCATAGACAAACCTGGAGGATGCCGAAAGATGAGGATGTGCACATAGTAGCAGCTGATGCCGTGTGTCAGGACCTTCAGTGGCCTCCGTGGGGATGTTGTCACGTCAAGCCTGTGAATCTACAGAACCACAATTATACCAACTCTTCTGTATGGAAGGGGGGCCTGGGTGCCAAGCGAGGCTGAAGAACACTCCTGGATTGACGTTTTTGAGTCTCGTTGTCTTCATCAGCTGCTCCATATCAAGTGTCAGGACAAGATCAGAAATGAGGATATGCGAAGCCAAACCCAGCTCCTGCTGTGATCAGCGCTGGTTTAGGTTTGATACTTTCTTGGTATTATTAGAATGGAAGACTAACGAATTCCAAAGCATGGCTACCAAGGAATGCTGCTACATGGCGGCAACCACACGGGCATCAAAACTTTTGGGTGCGCAACGAGATTACCAGTGACAGCTATAAACTGAAAATGGAACCCGATCACCTTCAGCACCTTGCCAGAGATCTATCCAGGAGGTCCTCCACTTTCCAGGAGGCCGTGTCCTCTGGGATTTGCCATCATGATGATGGTGGTATAAATGCTTAGATGGGGGGGGGGTGGATGACTCAGGAGAGTGATAATGGGATATCGTTTTTCACCTCCACTTCTAATGGAGCCAGTGACCCAAAGTCATGATCATCTGATGGCTTTTGTGAGATAAATGTCTTAGTCCAGCTTCTGCTGGGACAGGAGGTCACAGAACCAAAGCCACCATGGCAGGTGTCAATAATTGCCTCGTTGCCAAGAAGGCTAACGGCATATTGGGCTGCATTAGTAGGAGCATTGCCAGCAGATCGAGGGAAGTGATTATTCCCCTCTATTCGGCATGGGTGAGGCCACACCTGGAGTATTGCATCCAGTTTTGGGCCCCCCACTACAGAAGGGATGTGGACAAATTGGAGAGAGTCCAGCAGAGGGCAACGAAAATGATTAGGGGGCTGGGGCACATGACTGATGAAGAGAGGCTGAGGGAACTGGGGTTATTTAGTCTGCAGAAGGGAAGAATGAGGGGGGATTTGATAGCAGCCTTCAACTACCTGAAGGGGGGTTCCAAAGAGGATGGATCTAGACTGTTCTCAGTGGTGGCAGATGACAGAACAAGGAGTAATGGTCTCAAGTTGCAGTGGGGGAGGTCTAGGTTGGATATTAGGAAACACTATTTCGCTAGGAGGGTGGTGAAGCACTGGAATGGGTTCCCTACGGAGGTGGTGGAATCTCCAGCCTTAGAGGTTTTTAAGGCCCGGCTTGACAAAGCCCTGGCTGGGTTGATTTAGTTGGGAATTGGTCCTGCTTTGAGCAGGGGGTTGGACTAGATACCTCCTGAGGTCCCTTCCAGCCCTGAGATTCTATGATTCTAGGATAACTGGCCCTGGTTAGTGGCTTTGGGAGAGGACAAGGCTTGAATGGGCTGCAGAGAGGAAATTCCTCTCTCATTTACTCTCTGTGCGATGCCCAAAGATGGGCTGGGTCATAGATTCCAAGGCCAGAAGGGAGCACTGTGGTCGTCCAGTCTGACCTCCTGTACAACACAGGCCAGAAACCGGCCCCACAATAATTCCCAGAGCAGAGCTGTTAGAAAACCATCCAGTCTCAATTTAAAAATTGACAGCGATGGAGAATCCACCAGGACCCTGGATGAGGTGTTCCAATGGTTAATTACCCTCCTGGTTAAAAATGTCCGCCTTATTTCCAGTTTGAATTTCTCTAGCTTCAGCTTCCCATCATTGGATCCTGTTAAATCTTCCTCTGCTAGATTGAAGAGCCCGTTATTAAATATTTGTTCCTTGGGTAGATACTCACAGACTGTGATCAAGTCACCCCTTCACCTGCTCTTTGTTAAGCTAAATAGACGGAGTTCCTGGAGTCTCCCACTCTTATAGGCAGGTTTTCTAATCCTGGAATCATTCTCGTGGCTCTTCGTGGGACCCTCTTCAGCTACTGTTAGCCTAACTTTGGCTAAGGTGGCCAAACAATGTTCTATACTCCATATTTCTGGGCCTAACATCACCATCCTCCTTGGACTGTGGGTTCCAGAACTGGACACAGGATTCCGGCAGTGGTCCCACAGTGCCAAATAAAGAGGTAAAATAACCTCTCTGCTCCACCTTGAGATTCCCTGGTTTATGCATCTGAGGATTGCAACAGCTGTCCCCTTGAACAGAGAGAAAATCCCTGCCCTGAAGATCGCCCAGGCTGGAGTGCAGCCAGGACTCAGCAAAGGAGGATGAGACCACATAAGAGGGGATGGAGTGGCTGGCTGGTGGCTAAGCCATTAGACGAGGTCTTAGTTCAAATCCCTGTTCTGTCCTTGAGCCAATGGTTTCATCTTAGAGCCCTCTGTTTCCCAGCTGTAACATCCCTTCCTTGGTCTGCCTATATCAAAACTTGCAGCTCTCCAGTGCAGGGACTGCCTCCATCTGTCTGTAGGCCGGGGCCCTGATCCAGGCTGTGTGGAGGCACTGCTAGACTATAACAACAATGGGGTGGTTGGATAGGGGCAGGCTGCCTGCAAGTGACTTTGTAAACTTATTATAACGTTGTTTCAGTTTGTTTGCAGGAAGCCTCTAGACCAAAGCTGAGGCTCGTGATTGGCTGAGTAGCAGTTCCCTAGCTGCTGCCTGTGCTGTGCTAGGGCGCTGGTGGGGTGACACACCCTTCGTACCATATAAATAACACTCCTGACCCCGAAGCAAGGCAAGTGCGAAAAACCTGCAGATGCATTTGTGGCCCAGAGAGGCTCAGGATGGCCAATGCCAGACATTACAAAATCATGCCTCCCAAATCAGGGGGTTAGTTTAAAACCCATTAAATCTTAAATTATACGGGGTTTTTTTCTGCCTGCCGGGTGTGAGCCCTTAGGCGTCACGGTTCCAAGCCTTTCTCCACAACTAGCAGGGCTAGAAACTGTTCTTTTTTAAAAATGAAAGCTGGGAGTCTCATGTAATCACATGACTCCGGGAGCTGGTGCTGCTGGAAAACACACTGAATCTTTTGAGACGTGTGCTAACAGGATGAGAGCGGGCAGTACTGCAGGCACTGGGCTGGAATTGTGCAGACATCGCAGAGGAACGCAGCAAGGCTCACTCAGGCAGGAGCTGCACACCTGAGGTCCAGCTAGCCTAGTAGGCTGTCTCTGACAGGGCAGGGGCCAGCGCCCGACGCGGCAGCAGAAGGTGTAAGAAGCCTGTAGGAGCAGATGTGGGCTAATCTGCCCCCTACATAAATCTCACCCTGGTCTCTGCTACCCAGAGACTGGTTTGAACCCCGAAGCAGGAGGTTGAAGAACTGCATGTTATGGATTTCTGTACTTATAGGGGCTCTAAATCATTAAACCCAAACGTCAACTATAGGGAGCACCCTGAACAGACCCCCTCACCCATGAACCTGCCCCCTCCTTCTGCTCACTCACCCATGCCCCCACCCCATTCGTGCACCCCCTTCACGCCACAGACTCCTTCACCCATGCACTCCCCACACCTTCACCCCTGCAGACCCCCCCACCCCTGCAGACCACCTCACCTATGTACTCCCCACCCCTGCATCCCCGCCCCTCATCCCCAGACATGATCCCCCACCCCATTCCCCTCACCCCCACAGACCCTTCCCATGAACCCTCCCATCCCCAGACCCCTCACCCCTCCAGACCACCTTACCCATGCACCCCCCACCCCTGCATCCCCCCCTCACGCTTGCATCCCCACACCCTCACTCATGCAGACGCCCCATGCCCATGTCCATGCCCCCGCCCTTCTTTAACACAACCCAAGAACCTCAGCTCCCGGGGAACTACATTTCCCAGCGTTCCTTGCGCCCCGCCTCCTCCTCCCCCCTCCCACTCCTGGACTTGAGCGACGGCGGTTCTGTCCAATGGGCAGCGGAGGCGGCTCCAATGAGGAGGCGGAAGCGGCGGGGGGCGGGCTCTGTCGCCCGGCTGGGCGGGGGCGCTGTGAGTTGGCTCCGCGGCGATGAGCGGCGGTGGCGGCCCGAGGCAGCGGGGGGGCGGCTCGGCCGAGCGGCCCCCCCCGGGCAGGCGGCGGGAAGGTGAGGGGGGCGCTGACCCCCGTGCCCTGAGGTGCGGGGGGGCGGACCCCTGGGTGACCCCGTGCCCTGCGGTGGGGGGGAGGTGAAGTGGGGATGGTGACCCCCGGGTGACCCCCGCTCTGTGGGGTGGGAGGTGCTGGGGGGCGCTGACCCCTGGGTGACCCCCGTCCTGTAGGGTGGGGGGAGTGCTGGGGTTGCTGACCCCTGGGGGACCCCTGTTCTGTGGGTGGGGGAAGGTGCTGGGGTTGCTGACCCCTGGGGGACCCCCATTCTGGGGGGCCTCCATTCTGTGGGGTGGGAGGAGGTGCTGGGGTCGCTGACCCCTGAGGGCCCCCTGTGCTCTGGGGTGGAGGAAGGTGCTAGGGGGGCTCTCCAGTGGGGCTGTCAGGGCTGCAGGGGGCTATAGATCCCTCCCCCTGCGACAGGCATGATTTGGCGCTAATTGGTGGGGGCTAGGGAGGCACTTCCCCTGGGACAGGCTGTCCCATGAGCACCCACTACTGGCTTCTTGCGTCCTTCTTGGGCGCCGCTGCTGGCCTTGCTTGGGGGCGGGGTACGGCCCGTGGGGCGGGCCCAGGCTGGGGTTTCTAATGCTGGTGGCGGAGGGCTGTGTTCAGAGCGCAGCCCAGTGCTGGGCAGTCTGCCAAGAGGCGGCTCCAGTGACTGGCTGCCCTGTGCCGATGGGAGGCAGGGTGGCCTAGTGGATAGGGCACTGGGCGGGGACTCCGGAGACTTGTGTTCTCTGCCACTGGCCTGCTGGGTGACCTTGGGCAAGTCACTTCCTTGCTCTGTGCCTCGGTTTCCCCATCTGTATAATGGGGATAGTGACCTGGACCTGGTGAAGCGCTGTGAGATCTGTGGATGATAGCGCTAGGAATTAGCATTATATTATCTACAGCTTCCCAAAGCCGCCGCTCAGTTGCGTGTTGTGTCTGACCCCCTGCCCTTTGCTTGGGAAATGTGCTGCCCCCAGGTTCGCTTCACTCTTCTGGCCATGAGGCCTCTTCAGGCCAGCTGTGCGGAGCGGCAGAGGGGATCATGGAGTCGCATGTCCCATGCTCCCAGCCTGGTTGGCAGCTCTTGGGACGTTTCAGCCACGCTCTTGGGCAAGGGCAGGTCCGCGCCCCCCGCGTGGGGAGGAGGAGGGTTTGGGTGCTTGGGAGTTTAGGCCTCATTGCTGTGTCTTGTGAGGGAGCAGCCTCGTTCCCTACTTGGCTGCGCTCTGATGGAGGTGGAAAGGCCGTGGCTAGGGAGCGGTGGTGGCACCCCGCCTGTCTCTTTGGGGCTCAGGCAGGAGCTGCAGGAGGGAACGAGGACTTCGGTGGAGCCATCGATAGAGTTCAGTGGCTCATCCAGCCGACGTGCCTATGGCCTGTTCATTTCACAGCCAGCGACACGTGTCCGCCGCCTTTGACTGCCCTAGCCCGATGGATCGGGTACCCGCGTCGCAGCTGGGTGAACTGGAGGGGGCCTTTCAGTGCAAGATCGAGCCGAACCTGCGACCTTCAGGATTGCCGTTGGGCACTTTAACTCCTCAGCGCCAGAGGGACAGGGACGCTGCCTGGAATTCAGGACACTGCAGGGCTGTAATTCCACTGCTGGAAAAGAAACGAACGAGGTGCTTTGTGGAACAGCTGGGAGAACCCGCGATGGGAGGGCAGGGGAGCTGGGTGCACCCAACAGAACAGGTGGAGTGTGCTGAGTTGATGGCTTCTCTTTATAGAGCATTTCTACTTCCTACCCCTGCATCCCATCGCACCAGAGGGTGCTCCAGGCCTGCGCTGAGCCGGGCAAGCATATTGCTGTATAAACTGGTCCCTGAGCCCTCGACCTCTTGGGGCTCCCTGGGAAGTGTCTGCTGCGCTGTGACGCTCAGGGCCTGACCCATGCGGGTGCTGGTGACGTGCGGCTGGGGTCAGAGCCTTGACATGCCAGCCCTGAACGTTCTGGTTTCTAGTGGTGATTTATGGACGGCCGGTGAACGGCGGGTAGTGGCTTCCAAACCCTCTGCGCCTTTCTGCCACGTCTGTGTCCGAGTCTGCTCCCTCCCCTTGTCCCTGGAGCGCTCAGCCGGAGGCGCCCCAGGTCTGTGGTGTGGGGGGATGTTTGCAATGAGATCTGTGGTGCCTCCATTGCATGGAGAGGTCTCCTGCCTGGAGCAAGGAGGAGAGAATCCCTGACACCCGCTGCTCCTGGAATAGTGCGTTCTGCGCTGGCCCCTAGAAAGCCAGCTGCGGGGAATTCGGAGAAGAGCTACGGAAATGCTCAGGGCCTGGAGAGCCAGAGCTGGATGGCCAGATTGAAAGTGCCCCGTGTGTCTAGCTCGGGCAGGCAGCCAGCAAGGGGTGAAGGAGAGAGGGAGTGTGGGGAGGAGCAGGGTGGAGTCCGGAGAAAGGGGATGGAATTCAGGCAGGTGAGATGCATTGAGCTGGGGGGTCCTTTCCCTGTGGGAAGGGCTGGGAACCCCATCGCTGCCTGGCAGTGAGCTGGCTCAGGCTCCAGTGCCCCTCCCCACCCAGGGGACGGGCTGGGAGCCCCATCGCTTGGGGCGCCTCAGGCTAGAGGGGCTAAGAGTCTGGAAGGCATCGTCTAGGGAGCGATCCCTGAGCAGGGGATGGCAGCCTGCTGGAGCCTTCCTGCTTGTGCTCACACCCACTCCCTGCTCCCACCTTTCCCCGATCGTTCTGGGCAGGGCTCGGAGCATCCTCCATTATTATGGCTGCCCGATATTTCCCACGATAAGACCCAGTTTTCAGTTGCTTATAAGTTTCCCAGTCTCTAATTGGTTGGGATAAAGCTTTTCAAGCCAGATGTCTGCTTCAGGCTGATTATTATTAGTATTTTATTTTGAAAATTTCAGCTAAAATGGGTCAGCCGTTTTCGAGAATGAGCCTGGGGAAAACGCAGTTTGCCCATGTTAAAATCCTGGCGATCGTGCCTTTGAGAAGCTCTGGCACCTCCATGCTTTGGAGCAGGGACTCGGAATTTGCCCTGGGCCTGGCCCTTGTGTCAGGGTGGTGCCGTTTGCCATCCCCAGGTAAATCCGTCCACGTTTGGCCAAGTAACAAGCCTTTGAGAAATTGCAGTTCACACGTGCTCAATAGATCCCATCAGCTCTGAGCATGCTCCAGCCCTGAGGCTGGAGCGACCACAACTGAGAGCAGGGGGACTGTCTCCCCTGTGCTCTCAGTCCCCCTCCCACCCAATTCCGTGAACAGGAGGGACCTGCTCTGGGGGTGCAGTCAGGGCTGTGTTGTGAAGGCAGCTGCCTCGTCTTCCAGACATTGGAAGGTGTGTAGTGGAGGAGGCAGGGGACTGCAGGCAGAGAAGAACTGGATTCTATCCCTGCCTTTGCCACAGAGTTGCTGTGTGCTGCTGGGCCAGTCACTTAAACCAGACTGTGCACAGGTGGCCGCTAACTGTGTGCGCCTCATTTTCTGGGCGCCTGACTCGAGACCCTGGGGGCTGGTCTGCAGCAGTGCTGAGCTGTGCATTGAACATACAAAGTGCTGTGTGGTGCTAAGTGCTCTGAAGAATCAGGTCCTAGGTGTCTCAGATTGGCCGCCCCAAAATGAATCCCTTTGTGCCTCGGTGCTCCATCTGTAAAATGGGGTGCTAGCCGCTCGGTTCCCAGGGGTGCTGTGAAGATCAATTGGTTGGGAAGCACTCGGAGGCTATAGTGCTCAGCGCTGTAGAAAAGCCCCGGAGGAAATGAAGAATACTGGCAAGAGCAGAGTTCAGCTCCTGGGGGTGAAGAAGGCCTGGGGCTGCGCTGTGGAGAATGAGGGTGAGTGAGGATCGTCCAGCCTGTGCACGGAACGAGGCAGGAATCGCTAGTATCTGATCACGTCATTAAAGACTGCCTTGGAATGCATGTGCACAAAGGGGGCCGAGTTAAGGCATTTTGTAATTTTTGAGTGCTTGATCTGGCAACCTTAATAATGTTCTTTTAATGTCGTTTTTTTCCGTGTAATGAATAATTAAATACTGGTCCCAGTACGGAACCCAGAACCACTGCTCAGGGCCAGAGCCCCATTGGCATGGGGCTGCACAGGTCATAGACTCGTAGAAGATTAGGACTGGAAGAGACCTCAGGAGGTATCTAGTCCAATCCCCTGCTCAAAGCAGGACCAACACCAACTAAATCAACCCAGCCAGGGCTTTGTCAAGCTGGGCCTTAAAAACCTCTAAGGAAGGAGATTCCACCACCTCCCTAGGTAACCCATTCCAGTGCTTCACCACCCTCCTAGTGAAAAAGTGTTTCCTAATATCCAACCTAAACCTCCCCCACTGCAACAGAGACCATTGCTTCTTGTTCTGTCACCTGCCACCACTGAGAACTGCCGAGCTCCAACCTCTCTGGAACCCCCCTCAGGTAGTTGAAGGATGCTATCAAATCCCCCCTCAGTCTTCTCTTCTGCAGACTAAACGATCCCAGTTCCCTCAGCCTCTCCTCGTAAGTCATGTGCCCCAGCCCCCTGGTCATTTTCGTTGCCCTCTGCTGGACTCTCTCCAATTTGTCCCATCCCTTTTGTAGTGTGGGGCCCAAAACTGGACGCAATACTCCAGATGTGTCCTCACCCGTGCCGAATAGAGAGGAATAATCACTTCCCTCGATCTGCTGGCAATGCTCCTACTTATACAGCCCAAAATGGCAACAAGGGCACACTGTCGACTCCTATCCAGT